CTAACATCGTCCGTCGAGGAAGGTGATCAATGGCTAGACTAGGCTAGGCACGCATAACATATGTTCTAACCACCTCTCACAAACGATGCAGCTGCATCACAACCACATCGACTGATTTCCCCTCCTTACCTGCCTAGAACTCGACTGAAGCCTTACCTTACCTCAACTTATGATAGCAAGAAACACGGAGGAGAGAGTACATGCACCTATGACCAAAGACAGGTAGCTGGTCTCATTCATATCTTACACCTTCAGTGGGCTTGTTTTGCTCATAGGCACAAAGGAGGACTTAAGGGTCTGTTGAGCTGTACACTCGTCCTTTGGTCCGCAGCCAGCGAGTGGCAAGCGACCGATGTGAGCATATGAAAGAGGACCGAAGGAACTCTGAAGAGATCGATTTATCGAAAACTGTTATGGAATGGTTAACTGACTAATTTCTTCAACTGGGTACCCATTGGTTGAAAAAGAAACCTAGTCCAGTAGCTTGCCACTCGCATTCGGCACATATGTAGCCCTGATACTGTGGAGGATGAGTTATACATTTTGAGGAAAATTCTAATGGAAAATGGATTTTCACCACTTTTTGCAGACAAGAATATACATTCAAATCCTTTGAAATTTCGACTGTTGCGCACACTCAAGAAGACCTTCTTAGCAGCTGAACTACGAATAACTTTCTCCACAAAACCTATGATTCATGTGAACGTGAAGGATAATCTACCAATGCTGGTCTCATCAACGTGTATTTATCAGTTCATCTGCTCGTGTGGAGCAAGGTATTTTGGCCACACCAAGCGTTCGCTTTCCAAGAGTATCACCGAACACTTACCAACATGGTTTTACAAAGGAGAAAAACGATGTCCCCACAGCTTCATCTTAGAACATCTGATAGAATCCGGACACCAAGCTGCACCCCAAACAAACTTCAAAGTCGTCTACAGAGTAAGGAGTAGTCTCCCTAAAAGTGTACGAATCAAACTTCTTCAAACTGCAGAAGCAATGGCGATTCACTTGCTAAACCCTGAACTCTGCATACAAAAGAAGTTCGTTCAATCACTACACTTACAGTGGACTTAATCTGTCTTATTACCCGACAAGTTAATTCTGCCTAATCTTTTTTCCTTTCTGTCTCTTCATTAGTATTATTTTGTCTTCTCAATTGTAATACTTTACATTTTCAACTCTCTTGTTCTCTACCCCTACCCCATTTAATTTCTACACCTCACTACCACTGTTACTGACTTAACCAACGCTCAATTTCAGTTCTAATGTAAGAGGCATTATTATCTACCCCACTTCTACTTAGTCTCTACATGTAATTAACCCCGGTTGCTACCCTGACCTAAATTGAAACACGTTATTCAATTATATAGCGTCATCCAACTTACTAACTCAATCTTACTTTAGTTGTTGTCCAGTTAACCTTGTTTCTATATCAGATCATTCTTTTTATTACCTGATCAATTATCTGAAGTTGACAAACCTCATGTACACCCACACAAATAATTATATATAAATGCGATTGTACAGCTATGTGCATGAATTCGCCGTCGAAAAGAGTCAGTCTCTTCGCTGAACGTCTTCTCTTACGCAAGCCCATATTTTCCTTTGTTTCTATGTATATCCTAATCCCAACTCACTCATTAAACTATTCATCGTATTACGTAACTGAATTACGCTTATTCAACCTCTTTTATGCGTTTATTAACATGAATAACTGTGTTTTTTTGACAGCTCATCAACACTACCCTCACACCGATCTACACTCCCCCCACATCACCTTTAGTTGCAATTTGATTATTCACCACACTTTTGAAATGTCTTGACAACAATAACCCTAACCAATTTATATTCTTATCGCGCAAACCTAATACACACACATATTCAAAAGTAAGTCTATATAATTGCGAATGTACATTTAAGTGAATGAATTAGCCGAAAAGCTCCTCTTCGGTAGACTACGTGTTTTTTGTTCTTATTATTGTCTAGATGGGGATTATTCATGAATTAAATTACAAAAGGTTGACATAAAATAAGGATGATGATAATGGAGTAAATTGAACTGGGTGAGAAAGAACGAGAAAGGAATAACATGACATGAATTGTAGGTGATTATGACCCTGCTGACCTTATAGTAGGTCACATTGAGGATGAATGCGCTTCTTTTGTACACAGGTGTCCAGTATTTTTCTTAATAATCTCTAAATCTTCCACTATAGCTAAGTGACTTAATCGTGTACCTTTAGGTTGATTGCTTGGTAGTCGATATACAGCCATAAACGATATATCTATTTTGATGTGATGTTCACTATCTAGTAGACGGGATAAAATGGTATTATTTATTGATTTGGTTACACTTTTTCCAAGCCAAAGAGGAACATGTTCATGAGCGAGTAAAGATAATTTCTTCTGAGTTCGAACTACATAACCAGCTCCCTATGAGCAGTTCAATCTGAAAACACACGCACACACACTGATGTGGCCATCTCTGGTAATTTATCTTTCTGGCACTTTGCCAGCAATGGTATGGTTGAGAAAATGACGTTTAGTTCTACAGCAGCGAAAGTTTTTTCAACTTATCTTATCAACCTACCGCTGTACATATCACCTTTGAACTGTAATCTTAAATAGAGCTTTTTCTTCTTCACCGTGTCACGCTTAATTTTATCAGTTCTTTACAAAACTAGTAGGATAACCATTTTGTAGCAGGGTATTTTTAAGATTTTATCGATTTTATCTTTAATACAATCCTCAGTGCATATGCGCCTAATTCAATGACTGAGAATAGGAATCAACTTCTGTTTATAGAACAGTCATGAGTATTCAGTGAGTGGTAGAGCTATTGATTTATCTTTTATTTATTTATTTTCAAGTAAACTTGTAGGTAGGTGACTAAGACACTGTTGCCATTATTTACTTTTTTTGCAAGTCACTCAATTGTCTGTTTGTTGGTTAACTGGCTGACTGTTAGGTAGTTAGTTAGTTAGCAAATTGACTAATAATCGACTCTGTGTGGATAACCACGCCCAATATTATCTGATTGGGAGTAAAGCGGGTTTAACATGATTTAGGAGTGCTTGTGAGATTGTTTACGCATATACCAGTATGTACACCTGTTCCTGTTTATGTCTTACTTATTTACATGCAGTTGACATTGTTTTCTCAATCGATCAGAAAAAATTTATTGGGCAGAATTTGTGCTCACATAACTTCAATATATTTTGAAAATGAGGAAAATTAAACTTTCTACAAGATAAGATTTTTCAAACGCTGCGTCTGATACACGTAGTGTTCCTTATTTCTCAATATCTACTGTTTCCAGGCTTTTATCATGAGTTGATCTCGGTTAGAGAACCATTGGAATACCTGGGAGTACTGAAAAGCCACCCTTTTCATCAACGTAGTTTGGAACTGTGCTTCAGCAGTACGCACCCACCAGAGGGGGTTCGAACCCGAGGCCTTCCGGTTACAAGACAAGCTATCTCGTAGACCATTCACCAACCACTGGGACCCAGCCCAATGGTCAATTCCAACTTCTGCCAATATCTTTACCGAATATTTTTACTCACACCTGACCTGCTGCACTCTACTGGTCAAGCCTTCTCACTAGAACACCAGGTAACTACCTACCTGAATAGGGCCAGTCGCTAGACAACATCTCGTTGATATTCAAGTGTTGGTTTGATGAAAAGCCCCAAACTAGGACGAAACAGCTGTCCAGTATTCTCAGCTATTTTTTTTATTGTTTTTTAACGGATATAAGCTGTTCATGAAATTCTGTAACCAATCAATCACATTCCAACAAAACAATACTAGAGTTTATACTTTCACTTGTAAAAGTTCCAACGTTTGTTTATGGCTACAAGGAATTATGGATTGGAATCAATTACTGAAAAACTTTAACTATGTAGGACAGTAGTCTATGAGGTAGGTAATAATTCAAGGCGAAGTGGAAATCTGCACAAAGCTACCATTCGAAACCCGTGATCTTTGGAATACTAGTTCAGAACTCTTCTAGCTGAGCTGCGAGATCGGACAGTTAATTAGCTCGTCATTTCTCTACGGTTCCTAAGACTACTGTCAAAATGTCTACCTTCCTTGATAAGAGTGATTTTTTCAAACAGACAACTATAAAAGTGAATAAACCTGTGATAACATAACATTCTTATAAGAAACACAGAATCGTCGAAAGTTCATAGAAGCCTGGTGAGGAAATCAATTTTGCAGTTAATAGGAACGTTGTTATAGATCAAATTTATCAACCAATATAGAATATGTCACATAAACAGAAGGTTTAACATCTGGTCAATGAGACACTGTACATCACTATAAGTGGTCAAGTGTTACAATGCTTGTAAACCGAGCACGTGGTCCAGGTTCGAATCCCGACTAACGCACTTCTTAACTTAGCCTTAGTGATTAAACCGGTGAAGAGGAAATGTTAGGCATTAGGCTGGTAAACCCACTGTCACTGTAAATTCGAAAATCCTGAAGGCCTATATTCTACTTGTAAGGCAAGGAAATAAAAACAAAGAATGACAGGAACATCTCTGTTAGACAACCATTTGAAGCAGAGGTCTTCAATGGAGACAAATATTTCGAATTAAGTGCTAAAAATGCTTTCTCGAAGCATAATGAAACTTCCTTACTTATGTGCGTCGGTAGTTTAACGGTTAAGACACTCGCCTACCATGCAGATGGTCCGGGGTTCGATCTGCGGCCAACGCACACCTAATATCAAAGGTCAGCCTGCTAAATTTGAGCTACCGATGTCACCTGCTGAAAATTCCATAGTTGTACCAGAAAACTATATGGAATCAGGCTATAATAAGGAAAAAATAATAACCTAGAGAATACAGACACCACATAAACATCTATCTGATGAGCTACGAATCTTCTCCATTATTTCCGTTGACTTAAATGTACAAAGGTTGTGAAATAAAATGACACGATGATTTAAAAGAAGCGCAATAAATAAAAATTAAATATCACGAACTTACTGTTCCATTTCCAACCATGATAGTTGTGTTGTGACTGTGTTTACTGTCTGATCATTAAAATTATGTGACCGGTCAGTAATCCAGAAGATGAAGAGTTTTCATAAGCTGGGGAAGTAAAAAATTAAAAAACTGGGGGTGAGACATAATCAGTGAAATGAGGAATCGAATACTGACATTCCCCTAAACATCGTAAGTGTTTTATCAGTGTTTTATGGATCCTAAGTGCTAAATTGTCCCTTGAGATTGGAAGAGTAAGAAGCGTATAAAAGTTCCACCCACTAAATTCCCCCCACCCTTTAAGTAGTATTCTAGAAAAAAATATGAACAGTGGTAGTATTCTTGTCATGTGAAGAGGAAATGAATGCATGTAGGTAGCCATACAGCGAGTTGTAAGTGATATCAGAGGATTGGGTGTGATGGACACGTGCTATTAAAGTTCTGTGTCCTACTTGGGATTCTTTCTACTGACGTATCCTGGTCTTCCCATGTCTTAGCGATTTCTAAAAGAATATTTTATCTGACTTTTTGCATTGAGAAGTTGAGGCGCTCAGGCATAACCCAACTACTCCTTTTACAGTTTGTTACTCATGTATCATACCTATTCTTCTTTACTGTTCACCCTTATTCTTCCCTGGACTGCTTAAAAAAGACTATCTCATTCTTCGTAGGACTCTGAAGACTGTCAGTAGGGCGAGTGGCGACCTATCGGACCATATCATTGACACTGTCATTGATAGGCACTTGATTTCATGCAGTAAATTTGCTGAAGGGATTTTGTCAGACTGTGGGCATCCACTTTACCCACAGCTCCAACCTTGCGTCTCCTCAGGTAAAACAAGAGGTCTTTTCAGAAGACTTTATGCACCTACGTCTAAGTATAAAAATTCCACTATGCCATATTTAGCACGTGGTTTATGTGATGAAAATAGTATCAGACATGAACTAAGTAACCTTCTTTTTACTATTGAATAAACCATTTCCTCCACGCTTACAACATCAACCCTTATTGTTATTGTACTTCTTGTATTTATAATCCTTTCATTTCATTGTTTTTATTTGTTTATTTTTGATAAGTGTGAACATCATATAAAGTGTGCTATAACTGTTAATTTTGTCTTTCCCCTCACCATGCTGCTATATCAACAGAACATTAGACTCAATAATCTATAACATGCTAAACTTTTCAAACTGAATCGCCAATACTGTTTGAAACAAACTTGGTGGTATTATTATTATTATATTCAATATTCTCAATTCGTACTTCGAATATTTTTGACAGTATATCGTAAATATGGACAAATTCCTCTAGTTAATTTTGCTTCAAATTTTAAACTTAATTTATATTTATATTTATTTATTTATATTTATATTTTGATTAAATCAGATGCAATATTGTGACAAATGCTGAGAATTCCATTCTGTTTTATAAGTACTGTTTTTGAAATAAAGTAGATTATTATTATTATTATTATTATTATTATTAAAGGGACTGATAATATAGTAATATTTGAAACTGTACGCAGTCACAATCCTCAAGTTCTGCTCTCACATTATTCAATAGTTACTTATAATCTGGATACGTTTTGTGTATCCTTGAAAATAAAACAGTGTCATCTACATTTCCAAGAAATTTCAAAGACAAATTACCCTTAATGAAGTTGATTAGAGCAACTACAACAGTACATGGAGAAATGCAAAGTAAGACATCCACTTTATTTCGTCACTTGGTATCTCTTGTTAACTGCTTACAAGTTGAATAATTGAAGTCAATGGTCTTACATACTTACAACATAACCCTTAAGGTTTACTGGATAAACAGCTGTTGAATAATAATGAGGAAGGATCTTAGTAGATAGATGAAACGAAGTGTTAAGAGAGTCAAATATAAAACGCCTATTGTATTTTAAAAGTAATAGATAATATTTGAATTTCAGGCGGATGTTAATGAATTAGTTTCGTTCTCTGTGCCGGTTGATTTACCTGTAACACTTTCGTCGTACTCCACTTAGACAACATCTTCAGAGCAGGTTTCAGTATGGAATGAACTCATCTGAATTCTTCATGAACGATGGTATAACTGGATCTCTTGGAAACCATTCTCGTGACTGGTTGTTCAGTTACATTTCTATTGATCACTTTTACTGATGTGGAATTTCAACTTTCTCGTCATTTAATTTCCTTTACATTAACTGGTAAATTTGGTCTATAGTAATGAATGTGTTTGTTAATCTCTGGGAGATTCACCTGAGTACAAAGCAGGCTTCCAGGAATTCCCAGGCAGTATTTTTGGTGTTCCACCTATTTAAGATGTCTGCATTATTCCCAATCGATTTGGTGTTCATAATTATCCACATGCAGTGATATGAAAAAATATATACACATGCATACATACATCATGTCTTTTCACAGTCGTTTCATGTTCTTGAATTCGGATTCGAAGCGGACGCTCACTCTGACCGACTTAATGTCTATTGCAGTTCATACAAGCAGTTTATTTTGTAAATGTTATTACTCTTATCTTCTTTTCTTATTGGATCTTTTGGTTTGCACAATATCGAATGAAGTGATTATGCTGGCTGACTAACTGGCTTGTATGCAATATCGATTTGAAATGGCCTTAATATTCTAGATGTCATTTCAGAGATATTCTTTATGTATGGCAGGATGAATTTTCTTGTGGTTTCTGATGATGGCGTCTTGTTTGTGTGATAACTTGAGTTTAAACATCTGTTGATGAAACTGTGAGGATATCGATTCTTTCTGAAGACGGTTAGTGGGTATTTTTCCTCCAATCTCTTCAACGCCAGAGTACTGCAGTGTGGGTTTGAATTCTTTTAAGCAATGTCTACACACAGTTTCTACTAATACGTAAATTAGCTTTTTAATGGCATAATATATACTCTTTCATATCAATGCTTGTGGATAATTATGGACACCAATTCGATTGGGAATAATGCAGACATCTTAAATAGGTGGAACACCAAAAATACTGCCTGAGAATTCCTGGAAGCCTGATTGGTACCCAGGTAAATCTCCCAGAGATTAACAAACACATTCATTACTATAGACCAAATTTACCAGTTAATGTAAAGGAAATCAAATGACGAGAAAGTTGAAATTCCACATCAGTAAAAGTGATCAATAAAAATGTAATTGAACAACCAGTCACGAGAATGGTTTCCAGAAGATCCAATTATACCATCGTTCATGAAGAATTCAGATGAGTCCATTCCATACTGAAACCTGTTCTGAAGATGTTGTCTAAGTGGAGTACGACGAAAGTGTTACAGGTAAATCGACCACCTTAGGGGACACAAGTAGTTCAATTACTCTTTTTGTACATATACAATATGACTGAAGTTTATCGGATGAAACATAGAAAGGTGGTGAGAAATTTCAGTAACAAGATAATAAGGTACATAGATTATAAAATTAGATTAGTCAATAGAAAAATTGTTAATAAACAAATGAGATATGAAGTAGATCTATTGTGAGTTATACTCATTCAGCTTTGATCTCAGATATATCAAATGTGATGCCTAATAAATTATGATGTAACTACGTAAGAGTGAAGCGAAACCGACATTAACACAATAAAAACTGATAAAATTAGTTAACACTTAACGAATTCATACAGCATCTCTTTCTAAAATCACAAGTCAGGTTTTAGCCATGTGATAACCATCGTCTCAGCAAAATTCATTGGCCTTCAACTTTATTGTTTTATTTTTTTTGTTATTTCAAAGAAATTCAGGAGGTCTACCTGATTTCCTGTGTCAGTTGGATGCTACATGACTGGATCATTCAATGATTTATTTCTTCTTATATGTACAGAAATTGGATACGAATTCTGTCAAGAAGGATCTATAGAATACGATAAGTAACTATCAAAGCCCTTCTTTTTCCCTTGTTATTCACTAATCAGCAAACGGTACAAAAATGAGATTCACATAGATGTTATTTGACATTTTTCAAACCATAAAACGTGTTTAGCAATGTTTTTACTAAGCCGTCTGATTGTTTGCCTCACATGGCTTTCTCCATGGAAGTACCTTATACTGTAGAACATAAACATAAGAGTAGTAGTGGGAGATAACTCATGCCAATCAGTAGATCTTTCTAGCCAGATATAGGTTATCTGAATGCTGGACAACCCCTTCACTCTTTTGAACCTATGCTGAACAGCTGTGCGCTTTGTCAGATCAAGCTCAGACGTTTAAGTCAGTCTCAACTGCAACTTGAACAAAGGGATAAGAGAACGAAAAAGTAACTGAAGTACGTTGTTCAAGGTTTAACTTCACTATGGTTGCATTTGATAACTCAAATTACTCAAATCACAATACGCAATCCTTCTGATATTATAGTACTCATGAGATAGCTGGTGAAACGTCAGCCACACAAAGGTTCACCACCACCGACTGAGGATATAGACATATCTACCTAATGAGTCTCTAACAGAACGAAGCGCCAATACTGGACTCTACTGCTAGACACCACCAACAGAAAGAAGGTTCATGCATACTATAAGACAGTCCAAGATACATAGTCACATAAAGTCTAAATGTGGCCTTGAAAAATATGATGACATAACCAAACATGTTATAGGCCAATGAGTAATACCTTCAGCATTTCACAGATGTAACTCAACCATTTCATCTGTGTATTCAATCGAATCCGTCTTGGTTTTCTTCAGCATACGTATTATCTAATAAGTCCTCGGTTGGTCCACAATTTATATTTAATAGCTTAATGAAACTGTTCATCTGACCAAGCAGCAGTTGTTCTCTCCACGACGCATTCTTGTGAATAACTGTACACCGAATCAATTCAGTCACACATAAAATACTTGGTAACATTGTTTTATTAAGAGTTTTTGTCTTATAATGCTTGATGATTTCAGCTGTTATACGTGTGTATGCCGATTCAACCTTCTTCATAGAAAAATGTCCACCAAAGTCTGAGTAGTGGTTAGATTCGAACAGGTGGTTCCTGAATTATCTAACCTTGCGGTCTGCTAACTTAGCTACAACAGACTCATGTGCTCATTAGGTGTCATCGTTTCACAGCACTCACTAGAAGAACAAACCACAGGTAAGGATTTCAGT